TTGGCCTTGATTTAATGATTTTTTTGTTGATTGAAAAATGGAGTGTACGGTACTCTATACATTTATATGAAATTTTGTTGACCTTTGGTTAACCAAGATTTCACCTAAATTCTTAAATTGTTTTCTTAAAAGAAAAATGACGATGCCTCGAATTTCAACTGAAGTTAAATAAGGTCATTTCGTATTTAATTTAGTTTTTTTTCATTTATGACATAATTTAAAGAAGTCCTGGCAAAAAAAAATTTAAAGAAAAAATTACCCGAAGGTAAATAATATCAATTATGTAACCAACGTCTAATAAAAGAAGAAAGTAAGGAAAGTGCAAGTTGATTAGATCCGCCTAACTAGTATATTAATTAAATTTTGCGTTTAATTAACTTGAAATATATATATATATATATATGACGAAAAAAATAAAGATTACAAAAAAGAAGAAAACCCCCGTAAATTACACTTCCTTGAATGATTCAATATTATGTATCCCACGGTCCGGGAAGTTTGAAGTCATCACACACGGTGAAGATTTTATATGTTGAACAAGAATTGGGACCCACACGATCAAGCTTAATTAATCTGAAACATCCATGTTCAATGTTCAAACCTTTGTATTAGTTTTAATTCAGACATCGATCAAGCTGTTCATATTAAGCTCCATTTATTTAATAATTAACCCTTTTGTGAAAACATTGGTCCTTTTTCATACATGAAAATATATAATGAAGAATTATGACGTTCCTAGAAATTTAGTTATGCGTGGGAAGTCAATATTGGACTACTTCACCTGAAATTCCGATCCAACAGTTGAGAAGAGAGTTAAATAGACAATATAAATGTAATAACCCGAATCGATTATTCTAATCAGAATATATATGCTGATCATCCCGTCCTTAATGTAGTATTTGGGGGAGTTCATTAATATTGGTCTTATATATGTAAACTTATTTCACATATTTATTAATTTTTTTCCAAACAAGTTCTTAATAGTTTCAGATTTGTTAAAGATGCTACTAAATTACTAATATACGAATCCAAGTTTCCTTTACCCCTGACTAAATTGCTAGAAGCAATAGAGATTAGGTTTAGCAAAAGAAACTAATTCCTTATAATGTTTTATTATAATATGACGAATCAATGTTTAAATTTTTACAGAGTGGAGTGCCCATATTTACTACTTTGAATATAATTGGTTCCTATAGGATATATGTGCCTGGGAAAAGAATTGTAAACAATTCACCAATAAAATGTGAGCAAAGTTCAAGTTGAATTAAAAAGAAAAACAGCATAAATTTCACTTCAAATGCAACGAAGCATCTTGCACGACATAATTCAGCACGAAAGGACAAAAACAAGTAATAAAGAATTTTGAATTGAATAGCTAACAAAAAGAGTCAAAGATTGAAGTTCAATTTCATGTTAAATGAGGAAAAACTAATCAGGTCAAATTCCATGTTCATGGGAGATCACGAAATGATGAAAGCACTGGAGAAGAGAAATAAAATAGAACCAAAAAACAAAGGAAGAAGGATGAATATATGAAGAATGGATGGACCAACTTGGTCAGAATGGAGAAGAAAAGTTGAGAGGTTTAGTAAAATATTTTTAAAAAGATTAGAGAGAGGCGAAACGGAATATAATTCAATTCGTTGCATTAATAGACCAAGGCATAAGCAGTTTGATTAGAGACTTAATTAGGGTAGAATATTAATAGCGTAGGTTTGTTACATATGATTCAATGTGTGTGGTCCATACGTGAGGGCTGAAATAATCGAATAAAAATGTAAGCAAAATTCGAATGCTATAAAACAATATACTTTTTATGCCAACGCTATAAAACAATATTAGGATACAGGCCAGCAGTATCTCTTAATTTATTAAAGAAAATGCGTGTAATTCTTCTTCTGATATATAGTGCGAGAGATAAGTTTTCTTGCCGTGCCCATATTGATGACTTTAATTATAAATATTTTTTATTTGATTAAGTAAATTAATCAACGAAATTTCATTATGAATTGAACTTCGATCTTATCTGTGTACATATATATATATTTATATTGCGAATACATATAGTTGTCTGTATATGAATAACTTGCCATCTTCCTTACCAATTTCCAGTAAATTACATATATCTCATCAGTATACACGCAAATCTAATTCAAATTCATTCAACTATTGAATAGTATACACGCAAATCTAATTCAAATTCATTCAACTATTGAATTTTTTTAAAAATAGCTGAAATTTCACCTGTGAATGAAATGAAGCATCTTGCGCTTTATATATGTGATCCCGCAAAAGAATTGAGAAATAATTTGGTACAAATTGCCAATAAACAGTGAAAGAATGAGGTTGAATTTCACATGTTAAACGAAATAAACTAACTAGGTGTTCAAGGGGAAAGAATAAAATAGAATAATGGAGAAATTATATTATAATATAATTGATGAGTGAAACTGATCAAAAGTATTAAATGGGGTGCCACATGCACATAACGAAAAGTTAATAAACATGAAACAGATCCTAACAAAACACACACACACACACACACAGAGATAGATAAGGATTTCGAGCATGAGATTAATTAATTACAGTATGCTGTAAATATGATTCAAAAACTAATGTAACTCGTAATGTATGTGGAGATTTGAAGTTGAAGTGGTCAGACACTGTGGCGAAGAAGGCTCGTCTCAAGACGACCCGCAATATTAACCTTAATCGCACATTAAGTTTCAAGGTTCAACTTCGAAACGTAAGTTCAGAGTATTAGACAGTAGTTGACATGTATTTGCATGTAAATTTCCTCAACAATCACTCGGTTAATTACCTCATAATTCCCATTTCCTTCACTTTCTCACACTTCTCATCAACCAACATGGATCATATATAATACCTTGACTGAACACACACACACACACACACACACACACACACACACCAGATTCGTGAGTTTCAGTACTGCAAACCCTAGCTGGCTAGCTATCTGATTATCAAATTACAAGCAATCTAAGAAGATCAGAACCTTTAATTTATAATAGTTGCAAATATTAAAAGTTTCATCAAATAGTGATTCTAGCTAATACTATTTCCGATCTTTAATATAAAAGCTAGTTTGACATTTAATTTGATTCTAAATATAAAACCCTAATTCACTTTGTCTCAATATTTATCCTTTTTTTTAAAGGAGTCCTTGTAGTAGTTGTATATGTTAAAAGTTTAAAGTTCCATTAAATATAGTTCTAGCAAATATACATGATTAGCAAGGGTATTTTGGGAAAGATAACACTATTTATTATACACAACTAACTTAACAAACTTATTTAATATACTCAAATCAGTCAACTAGCTCTTATATTAAGGACCGGAGGTTTTAACAAGAGTATTTTAGGAAAGACAACACCTAATTATTACAAACAACTAATTTAACTAATTTTCTTAATCTACTTAAATTAGTCAATTATCTCTAATATTAAGAATCGGAGGTAGTATTTTCCTGTTGAACACATCATAATATTTTAATATATGTACGTGCCTTGTGTGATTCTATATAAGTAGAATTACTCATAAATATTCATTTACTTAAGGTTTTGGGTCAATATTTAATTAGTGTAAAACTCATCCATATACATCAGCTTATGTTACTCGGGATGATTCCTATCAAGTAGTTGGTTCGTAATACGAAGAGTCTGACTATGGTCTTCGTTAAATTAAAAGGTAGGCAAAATTCGAATGCGATCAAACAAATCGCATTATCTCTTGATTTATTAAAGGAAATGTATGCAAGTCCTGATTTGATAATGCAAGAGATAAATTTTCTTGTCGTTATCATATTGATGTCATTAATTGTAATTTTTTTTTACTTCAACTAAATTAATCAACGGAATTTCATTACGATACTTAATTAAACTTTGACCTTATATGTATACATATATTGTGAATTGTAAATATTTCACCGACGAAGTGTTTTACAATTAATTTCAGCTAGAGGAAATTGTTGAATAGTTGTCTATATATGAATATCTCGCCAATTCAGTATATATGCAAATCTAATTCAAATTTATTCAACTTTCAAACAAAAAAACTAATTTTGTAATGGTGTTGTAGGTTTCAGTTAAGTATCAATGCATTCGTCATGGAATCCACTGGATTTTTTCACCAAAAAAACAGCTTAAATTTCACCTATAAATGCAACGAATCCATCTTGTGCGGCATATGTAATTCAATAATCAATACGAGGAAAATTTGAGAGAAATTTGGTGTGCATTGCCAATAAAAGAGTAGGAGGAGGTTAAGCTAGAATTTCAAGTTAAAATAAAGAAACTTGTTCCGTGTTCATGGGAGAGATCAATAAAGGGGCAAAATTAAAACGGAAGAAAGAAATCAATTTTGTTTAAAATATGAACAAAAATTGATGAGTCCAACTGAAAAATGTTAAATGGGTTGCCGCATGCACTAAATCAGAAATGTTAATCTTTAACATAAGAGCTGAACAATTAATTTATGAATATTAAAAAATTAATTAAGTTAGTTATTAGTAATAAATTGTTCTTGTTTTTCCTAAAATACCTCTATTAATCTTGTGCATTGAAACTACCATTTGTTGGAGTCTCCTTAACATGTGCAATCACCATAAGAATTACTTGGGAGTAAAATGAATAAATATTAGAAACAAAATTAATTGAGGTCTTATATTTAAAACTAAATTAAATCTCCAACTAGTTCTTATATTAGGCATCAAAGATAGTATTAATTACCTTAATCTGTTTTCAAATTAATCTCTGTAAGTTCGAAGTGTTAGACAGTAGTAATTGACACGTAGATTTCCTCAACAATCACTTGATTATTAATTACCTCATTATATATACCCATTTCCTTTAATTTTCCCACACTTTTCATCAACTAACATGGATACCTAGCTTGACTCGCCATATATGCATATAAATACAGCTATCTGATTCAGGGGTTTCACAGCAAACCTTAGCTATTTGTTCATCAAATTATAAGCAATCTTTTGAAGAAGAAGAAGCTTAGCTTTGTGAAGGAAGGAGCAGCATGAGCTCTCAACCACCAGACTCCAATAATATAAGAGATGGTACTCCAATCCCTAACGGTCAAGATGTCAGGTCCACTGCTGGTCCAACACCATGACTCTCTTCATTTCATTTTCAGGTTCATATACATTTATTCCTTTCTTTATTTCAGGTCCAATCAGGGAAATCAGGGAAACCCTACAGCACCTGGCACTCAGACGCAGGGCTCCAATATAAGAGATGGCACTCCAATCCCTAACGGTCAAGATGTCAGGTCCACCCCTGGTTGAACACCATGACTCTCCTCATTTCATTTTCAGGTTCATATACATTTATTCCTTTCTTTATTCATATAAATCATTTTTTCCATCGGGAAAAACTGATGAGTTATGTGTTATTTTAATTTTTTTTGGATCAAATTCTTGGTTTCTAATTCAAGGCCTCCAAAGCAAATCTCCATGATGAGCTTGCCACTAAGGCTAAATTTGATTCTTGTTATTAGGTTCTTAATTTAAATTGAACATGACATATGAAAATGAACAGGTCCTTGAGACGCACACGCAGACACACAGTTTGCGTTGTAATAAATGAATTAACTTTCACTTATTTGCTATATTATTAAAGAATTTTGTAGTAATTGAAGTGCCTATATAAACAGCTTTTTAGATTCCTATCCTTCTTCTAATTAACCTTACTCCAAAGTGCGAAGAGATCCTAATTAAATCTTGTTTATATCTGTTTATCTTAAATACTTATAAGCATTTTTACATAAGTCGTGACAAAGCTTTTCTCGTATGCATGCTTATTACCTTTTATTTCGTAAATCAGCCATGTGTTGTGACGATGTTGTTATTCATCTTTTTAGTATTCATGTCTGCCTTCAATCTCATTCTGGTTTTCATTTTCATGCAGATGATCGTCAAGTGCCGGTCTTGATAAAAGAATTAGGGAAGCAAAATATTATAGCGCAGTTCTATCATAATTATAGAGCTAGCAAGAATAAGAATACTATGAAAAATATTATTCAACTTTTTTTTTGGGGTTTTGTTTTTCGTCTAGACTTGATTTGTTGTTCTTGTTGCTTCCCATAAATAATATACAAAGTCAAGTGTCTGAGTACGTAGTTTCACCTTCGTGCATGTCTTCACTCTTGAAATGTACTCTTGGAAGTAATTTAAATTTCGCTAAATTTCAAGAGATCAATTACTGTAAACAAGCGGTACGACATGACCTTAACCTTCAAATCCTAAATTTTCAAAACAAGAATGCTTATTTGTTAAAATACGCCTAACAATAGTAAGCCACATATGTAGATTAATTCCCCGAAAACTGTTTGGAAATTAATAGAAACATTATTAGTATTAATGTTGGGTTGAAATTCAAAGTAAGCTCAACTCAAGTTTACTTGTGTGTGCCACAATAATCCACGCGGTGTTTTCATAAATCATTTGTGAAATTAAAATATAACTTCCTCTGCAAATTTATATATCAACCACCCCTTTCCTACATCTAAAAATCAACGTCCAGTATTTTTTCTTCATAGCTTAAAATATGCACTTTGAATAATATAAATAACATTCAGGCTTGTAAAATTAAAACCACTAATCGTTTTTTGTCAAAAGATAATCTTATCCATTATTAATATAACTGATTTAATTTGTTGGGTTTTCCTTGTTTCACTAATTTGGCGGAGAGAGAGGGAAAATTTTTTGCATGTACCTTATTAAATCCAAAATGCGTTATTTTAAAATTCCAATGCTTCAAAGTGCCATTATGTATCTTAACTTGGACGTATGTGTCATTTTCCCTTTGCAAGCAAATTTCATAATTCAAGATTTTAGTTGGCCTTGATTTAATTTTTTGTTTTTGTTGATTGAAAAATGGAGCGTACGGTACGCAATACATTTGTATGAAATTTAGTTGACCTTTGGCAACGAACAAGATTACACCTAAATTCTTTTAAAAAATAAAGGATTAATATAATTTTTGGTCCCTCAAGTTTGCCCTCATTTTGATTTTGGTCCCTCAAATTTAAAACCATAGGTTTTGATCCCTTAAGGGGTAAAATGGTCTAAGTTTTTATTAGATCAGAGGGACCAATATTTTAAATGAAAAGAAACTTGAGGGATCAAAGTTTATGATTTGAAATCTGAGATACCAAAACCAAAATTAGGACAAACTTAAAGGACCAAAATTTGTATTAACCTAAAAATAATAAATGACGATACCTCAAATTTCAACAGAAGTTAATTAAGGTCATGCGTTTTACATTATTATGTTTGTATTTAATTTAGTTTTTTTAATTTATGATAATAATTTAAAGAAGTCCTGGCAAAAAAATTTAAAGAAAAAACTACCTAAAGGCAAATAATCTCAATTATAGGTAACCAGCGTCTAATAAAAGAAGAGTTAAGAAAAGTGTAGGTTGATTAGATCCAACTAACTACCATATTAATTAAATTTTGCGTTTAATTAACTTGAATATATATAAGACAAAAAAAATAAAGATTAAAAAAAGAGAGAAAACACCCGTAAATTACACTTCCTTTTATGATTCAATATTGTATATTCCATGGTCGGGCAAGTTTGAAGTCATCACATACGGTGAAGATTTGATATGTTGAACAAGAATTGGGACCCACACTATCAAGCTTTAATTAATCTGAATTGTCTATGTTCAATGTTCAAACCTTTGTATTAGTTTTAATTCAGACATCGATCAAGCTGTTCATATTAAGCTTCGTTTATTTAATAATTAACCCTTCTTGCGAAAACGTTAGCCCTTTTTCATACGTGAAAATATATAATGAAGAATTATGACGTTCCTAGAAATTTAGTTATGCGTGGGAAGTCAATATTGGACTACTTCGCATGAAAAGAGGCCTCTCAATATTCTCCGATCCAATGGTTGAGAAGAGATTTTATAAATAGACAATATAAATATAATAGCCTGAATTTATTATTATAATCAGATTATTACTGCACTATTGCCTATTTAAGATGTTACTAACATATATGTATTTGGTTCAAAGTTACGTTCAGCAAAGTCTTCCATGGAAGAAGAATGGGTTTAATTGAGAATATGTTTCATATTAGGAAAAACTAATTTTGACCACTTTCTTTATTATTTGCAAGTAATTGTAACAGCAGGTAATTAATATTTCGTTACCATATCAGCATTACGTCACATCAAATTAAATTCAATGTTTGGAAAGTATGAAGGTTGATTTAAGAAACAAAATTATATACTCCAATTTTAAAATATACTCGTCTGGTTCTTAATGTAAGATCTAATTAGAGAATTAATGTTAATCTCATATATCTATTTCACATGTTTATCAATTTTTTTAAACGAGCTTCCCTAATATTTGGGAAATGTTCAGGAGGCTACTAAATTACTAATATATGAATCCAAGTTTTCTTTACCCTTGAATAAATTATTAGCATTATTAACAAGGATTATGTCTAATAGAAGAAACTAGTTTCTCATAATATGAAGAATCAATGTTTAAATTTTTACTGAGAAAAGTGCCCACATTTAATGCTTTGAACATAACTGCTTTGTATATGATATATGTGCCTCGGAAAAAAAATTGTAAACGATTCACCAATAAATTTTAAGCAAAGTCTGAGCAAAGTTCAAGTTGAATTCAAAAGAAAAACAGCATAAATTTCACCTCAGATGGAATGAAGCATCTTGCATGGCATAATTCAGGAAAAAATGTAATAAAGAATTTAGAATTGAATAGCTAAAAAAAGCGTCAAAGACTAAAGTTCAATTTCATGTTAAACGGGAAAAAGCTAATCATGTCAATTCCATGTTCATGGGAGATCATGAAAGCACTGGAGAGGGAAAATAAAATAGAGCCGAAAAGTAAAAAAGGAAGAAGGAAGCAAGAAGTCAATTATTTTGAAAACATGAATGAATATATGAAGAATTGATGGGCCAACTTAATCAGAATTGAGAAGAAAAGTTGAGAGGTTTAATAAAATATTCTTAAAAGGATTGGAGACGAAAGGGAATATAATTCAATTCGTTGTATTAACAGACCAAAACATAAGCAGTTTGATTAGAGACTTAATTAGGGTAGAATGTTAATAACGTAGGTTTGTTACATATGATTCAATGTGTGTGGTCCATACGTCAGGGCTCAAATAATCGAACAAAAATGTGGGCAAAATTCGAATGCTATAAAACAATTTTTTTTTTGGGCCAAAGCAATATTACGAGGCAGGCCAGCAATATCTCTTAATTTATTAGAGAAATTGCATGTAAATCCTCCTGATATATAGTGCGAGAGATAAATTTTCTTGCCGTGCCCATATTGATGCCTTTAATTATAAAGATTTTTTACTTAATTAAGTAAATTAATAAACGAAATTTCATTATGAATTGAACTTTGCTCTTATCAGTGTACACACACACACACACACACACACATTGTGAATATATATTGTTTGTCCGCCTATGAATAGCTTGCCATATTCCTTGCCAATTTCCAATAAACTACATATATCTCATCAGTATGCACGCAAATCTAATTTAAATTTATTCAACTATTGAATTTTTTTTACAAACAGCTGAAATTTCACCTGTAAATGAAATGAAGCATCTCGCGCTGCATATATGTGATCCCACAATAGAATTTGAGAAATAATTTGGTATAAATTGCCAATAAACAGTGAAAGAATGAGGTTGAATTTCACATGTTAAGCTAAATACACTGATTACGTGTTTGGAGGGAGAGAATAAAGCAAAATAATGGAGAAATTATATTATAATATAATCGATGAGTGAAACTGAAAAATATTAAATGGGGTGCCACATGCACTTAACGAAAAGCTAATCAACATGAAGCGGATCCCAACATATAAATATATAGATAAGCATTTCGAGCATGAGATTAATTAATTATAGTATGATGTAAATATGATTCAAAATCCAACGTAATTCGTAAGGCATGTAGAGATTTGTGGTTGAAATGATCGGACACGGTGGTGAAGAAGGCTCATCTCAAGGCGACCCGCAATATTAACGTTAATCGCCCATGAAGTTTCAAAGTTCAATTCCGAAACGTAAGTTGAGAGTGTTGGGCAGTAATTGATAATGTATTTGCATATAAATTTCCCATTTGGTTAATTACCTCATTATTCCCATTTCCTTAACTTTCTCACACTTTTCATCAACCAACATGGATCATATGATACCTTGACTGAATAGTATATATACACACACATACGCATATCTGATGCATGAGTTTCAGTACTGCAAACCCTTGAAGAAGGAGAAGAAGAAGAAGAAGAAGAAGAAGATCAGAACCTTTAATTTGTGGAGGAAGGAGCAGTATGAATCCTTCCAACAATATAAGACCTCCCACTAATGTCCCTTCTGTTCAGGATGTCCGTTCCCCACCTGCTGGTGGCACTCAGACACAGGGCTCCGACAATAGAGGGCCTTCCACCAATATCCCTAAGCCTCCGGCTGTCCGTGGCCCACCTTCCAACACCAATCGTTAACTCATTTTCAGGTAATTCACACACACACACACATGTTTACTCCTTTATTTATTCATATAAATCATCCTCTTCAGTGGGAAAAACTGATGAGTGATGTGTTATTTTTAATATTTTTTAATAAGTTCTTCGTTTCCAATACAAGCTCCAAATTAAATCTTTCATGAGTTTTCGATGAAGGCTAAATTTTATGCTTGTTATTAGGTTCTTAGTTTAATCTGAACGTGACATAAAAATGAATTTTCAAACAAGTTATTGACATATATATATAGGTTTGGGTTTTAATATAAATGAATTAACTTTCAAGTGTTTGCTATATTTTTAAAGAATTTTGTAGTAATTTAAGGGCCTCTCTCTCTCTCTCTCTCTCTCTCTATATATATATATATATATATATATATAAACAGCCCTTTAGATTATCATCCTTCTTGTGAAGTAACCTTACTCCAAAGTGCCAAGAGATCCTAATTGACTAATCAGCCGCTTGCCTCGTAGTTGTTTATTTTGTTCTTCTTCAAACAATGTCTGACTTCAATCCCATTTTGGCTTTCATTTTCATGTGCAGATCATCAGGTGCCGGTATTGAAGTGATATGGGTTGATCCAGAATAAGGGGATAC